ATGTATGTATGTATGTATGTATGTATGTATGAATGTATGTATGTATGTATGTATGTATGTATTTGTAGATTTTCACGGGTGTAGGTATGCTGGTCTTGTTGTATTCGGGTCTTTTCCCGTGTAAGATTGAGATTGTCTTGGTTTCAGCCAGGCTGGGTTTTGGGCTGTATCTTTCTCCATTATGGATGAATTATGTGTTGGTTAGGCTTTTCCCATGTAAGATTGAGATTGACTTGGCAACGTTTTGGCGAGGTCTCACTCGCCATCTTCAGGCTGGGTTTTGGGCTTAAAAGCATACCTATATCCGTGAAAATCTATGAAAACATACACATGTATACATATATACATGTGTAGATATATATATATACAAAATCACTGCAGATAGTCCTCGACTTACAACCTTTTCATTTAGTGACTGTTCAAAGTTACAACGGCAATGAAAAAATGACTCTTTTTTCATTCTTTTGACCATTGTAGCATCCCCATGGTCACATGATCAAAATTCAGACGCTTGGCAACTGGCATCTATGACACTCACAGTGTGAAAAACAGCCATGTCACTTTTCTCAGTGCTGTTGTTAATTTTGAATGGTCACTAAATGAACTGTTGTAAGTCAAGGAATACTTGTATTGTAATAAATAAATAAATGTGGCCTTCTGTCTCCTAACTCTAGATGTAGGTGGCTAAATATAATGATTCTTATTTAACCATCTACTTATTTGAAGTCAAATTTCAGAATGATTTTTCTTTTTTAAGCAGAGTTCTCTGAAAACAAGGTTGGAAGCACAAAATGAAGAGTATCTTTCTCAGGTTTATGGCAGGCCAGTTTACCAAGGTCACAGAAGCACACTGAAGAAATCTCCATATCTGCGCTTCAATTCTCCACCTCCCAAATCAAAACCTCCACGACCAAAAGTAATAGAAAGTGTTAAAGGTAGGTAGTGTTTTATTTTCTTTTTCCCTGAAGAACATTACAAACAGCTTGCCTTTCTATTTTAGGATATATTTTATTCCCCCTTGATCTTGTAAAAAATCTGTAGAGTAATGTAGCTATTTCTGATAAATAGCATATTCAGGACATTTATTTAATTATCTTTGCCACCATACACTAGAAATGGCTAGTTTATACTACTATGTAAAAGTAAAAAATTGAGGTTTGATGCTATTATCTTATTCTACTGCACCAAAGCGAGTCGGAAGTCAATGCCTTTTCTTTCTTTTTTCCCTTTTCCCTACATTTTTCTCTTCCCTTCTCCCTTTCTTATTTTCCTACTATTTTCTTTTGTATTTTTATGGATTTTATATTATAAACTAATAACAACAATAAATAATTAAATCTGTTGAGCCGGTCATTCTCTGTCCCAAAGAAGGGCAGTCTTTGATTTCTGTAAAATGGAGGATTTCTTGCCAAAGTAGGTCATAGGAGAGGGTTAGTCCCTCTACAATTCTCCTTCCTGCAGGAAAATTCTCCTTAGTTCTACGTTGCTTCTCTCCTTGATTAGTTTCCACCCATTGCTTCTTGTTCTACTCTCAGGTTCTTTGGAGACTAGCTTGACTCCCTCTTAAACTAAGGCTTACTTCAGAATTGATTTTGCAGTGTGTGAAAACAAAATTACCGTATTTTCACGACTATAAGCCGCACTGAAAATCCTAAAATTTTATCAAAAACCGGCAGTGCGGCTTATAG